TCCCATCCGGTCACATGGGCAGCAAGCCACTCCCACAAAGGAGGCCACACCCACAGAGTAGGTTCGAACAATTTTTGAAACCCACCACTGCAAAGTTCCCATGGTCACCTGATCAAAATTTGGGGGCTTGGCAACTGGCAGGGACTTACGACAGTTTCGTGTCCTAGAGTCACCTGATCACCGTTTCTGACTTTCCCCGGGTGGCTTCCCGCAAGCAAAAGTCGAAGGGGGAGGGGGCATTCGGTTAACAGCGCTGCAATTCGCTTAACGACCGCAGCAGAAAAGGTTGTAACAATTGGGTGCAACTCACTGAACAACCAACTCGCTTAGCGACTGAAGTTCTGCTCCCGATTGTGCCCGTTAAGTCGAGGGTACTTGCATTTTAATTTCAGAAGTCTTCAAAAAAGGAGACTTTTGACTTGTATATCAGAAACCACTTCAAAGTGAGGCATAATTTTAACCTTTCACGCCAAAAGCACAATCGGTACGAGTGCCAGACTTCCACTTCTCTTGGGAAACCTATCACCCTGCCAGGTGTTAATGGGAGTTCAAAATTGCTCTGCGTGAGTTTTGCACCAGCACTGAAAGTCCTTGAATCAAACCCAAATCCGTCTTCATTGCAGTCTGCTTAATTTTGTTCCTGGCACAAAAACACGCATTGGATAGAATGGATTCGTTTAACAACCATGTTCACACGTCACTACCGGGGCGTTCTCTGAAACGACTGCCACAAAAAAAGGTCACAGGTGGTTGCGTGAGACTCACTTAATGACCACTTCGACATACGTCTATAGTTCTGGGCTCAATTATGGTCACAAGTCAAGAACTGTGTAAGGGAGGGAGGGATGAATATTAGGCTTGACGTGGGGTGTAAGATTTTAAAGTAATATGATTGCACATGTATACTGTCTTCTCTTATTTTATTTTATTTTAAACTAAGATATGTTAAGTATACTGATATGGAAGCATAAATACCATCAACATAGAATGGAGTTTGCTCAGAACTATAGACGTATGTCGAAGTGGTCATTAAGTGAGTCTCACGCAACCACCTGTGACCTTTTTTTGTGGCAGTCGTTTCAGAGAACGCC